ATTAGAAAGAAGAAATATTTGTCACTAATCCTAAACGAAATTATTTCGGTTGCTCGACACACACACACATCCACTGACGCTGTCACAGCCCAAAAATTTTTCCATGCCATACCACAAAGGCAACGGCAATCCAGCCATTCCATGCGTCAACTCATCCCATAATCTCCACTCTGAACAGCCACTTTGAACACACGCTGACACGCTGCAATTTGCGGGCTTTGCAACCAAATCATTTTCCACTCTAATTTATCCTAAACGATAGTCATCAATCCCATAGTGACATCAGTTAGAAGTTGCTTAGAAGTCTCTTTTCCGATGTTATCGGAAGATTGAGGATCATCTTCTTCGAAAAACTTCTAAGGCAAATCGAGTATATATCAGTTTGAGACTTTTATGGACTCGAACTAAATATATATATATATATATATATATATACATTTTATATTTATATAGACATATTTATATAAAACCAAAGTGCCTCTCAAGAAAGAAGTTCCTAACTCACCACAGCTTTTACGGGGTATCTGTCGTTCAAGATGCCCTACATGTTAGTTTGATACATATGTAAATTATATAACATGTTTTAGAGCCAGCTTAGGGCTATATATCAATATAAATACATAGTTGATTAGATTTATTTGAAACTGCAAAGATCTTGTATCATATTGCCGCTCGGGCCAATGCTTACGCAGTCGTTTCTCATTCATTGAACGTTAGATGAGCGCCAAAGCGGATGCGAGAAGAGAGAGGGAATGCCTGAAATACAGCGCATCAGCTACCTAACCGGCGGCAGAGGCAGTTGGAGCGGCTCTCCTCTGTCAACTCGGGCAGCTTTCCTAACTCCCGCAGCTCCCAGCAGATTCTGAAACCGGCACTGGCTGTGGCTCTGGAATCTCAGAGCTGGCTTTGACAGGCTTGTTTTCCTTCTGCGTTGTTTCTTTCTGTTTCTGTGGCGTTTCGGCGTTTTGGCATGGCTGTTAACCTGCAGAACTCCTTTCACTTTACATTCTAATTCCAAAAAGTTTACAGCATTCGCATTCTTAAGTTCTCGATTTGCTTGCCATGGGGCGAGAAGTTTACGATCCAACAACTTGGCCAACAGCTCGTTATGGGTCATCGTCATCGTCTCTACTCTCTCTCTCTCTCTCTCTCTCTCAGTATTTCTCTTTGCTTCTGTCTCTGTCTTGGGCGGCATTCTTGTCTTCCCGGTGAGGTCTTCAGAAACCGGAATGCCTGATGAATGTTAAAGCTTTTGACCAATGAGTCGTCCGCTGTTGGCCCTATGAAATAAACTTGCGAATTGGCCAAAGACAATAACAAAATATTTCTTTCTCTTCCTCCTCTCTCTCCCTGTGTGTGTGAATACGTGTGTACTGAGTATTGATCGATTTTAAATGCGGCCAAATCGCGGTTGGCACAAATAAATTATTGAATTGCCCAATTGAAGTGCATCGAGTAAAATATCTGCCCCCACCCCCGCAACACAGGTGTTACCTGTGTTGGTTTTTCATTACTTTTTTTTCAATTTGATTAAAATGGAAGTCTTGGGCGCGGTGCAATCAATTTCATTCGATACACACATATCGTAATAGCAATAAATGACTTCTGACGCGTTCAACTTCAACTTCGACTTCGAATTGATTTTATTGTTGGCTTTTAATCATCAAATGGAAATTCAATTCAATCGAAATTTCAATAGCATAAGGCACACGCCAAAAGGCCTTCTTCACATAGATACGTGCAGCCGGCCAAGAGGCATCCAAAAAACTGGAGCATTGCTGATAAGAGCGATACCCATACCCATGCCCACAACGTCCACGAAACGAACGAAACGAAACCAGAGCAGAGTCGTTTCAAATTGTGGACTGATGTCAAGAAACGATCTAATAAATAATACCACAAATAGTACGATTGCAGCTCTACGAGGGCTAAGAGGGCCTACTTATATGATATATGTCCAGATAAGATGTTCAAGAGTGCGTTGACAGCGCCAGCTGCAGCAGCCAATGCGCCTCTGATAACACAAGCCATGATAAAAATCATAAAAATGTATACACATAATATATATATATATATATATATATATATATATATATAATATAATATATATATGTATAATATAATATAATATATATATAAATATATATAGCTGGTATGTAGATGCAAAAAAAGAAAATTCATTTATTGCAACATTTGAGACATTTTCGTGGTAATTGAGAACAATTTGATTGCAGCTCAATGCTTGATAAAATGCCTCATCTGGCGCTTGCGCTTGGCACATCTGAAGACTGAATTGGGAATCTATATAAAGAGTGCCTATGGGAATATCGCGAGTTGCTGTTTTTTCTTCACAGATTTTATGAATGGACGAACCTTCAGAACATTAGAGTTGACTTAAAAAACGGCCAATATTAGCCCATCAATCGCTAGACTAGCTATTCAGAAGTTGACTTGCATGTTGTATCTAAGCCTTACATATATTACCTGGTATCTGAACAACAGCCAACAAATTCTTCCCAGCCAAGATGCCCAGCTAGTCTGCTCTGATTTGAGATATTACAAAATGTCCAAGTAGCTAGACTCTAGGACGGAATTCAAAGCAGCGAAACGGCTGAGAAGACATCACATACGAAACTCTATTGTGGCAATAAACCTACTTTTTAACTTTGCATTAAAATCATAATTAGAAAGAAATAAAAGCAATAATTTGATTAGCATAAAGTGAGAATTGAGGCTCTTCTGCGCGTGACAGCATGGCTCACTCTTAGGCTATTCAAATAATAGTGGCATCGTCTAGCCACAGCCACCTGGTTGTAGTTCTTATGCTACCCTGTTTCTTGCAGCTAAGCAGACAGTAAGTAACCCAATGTCATTTTTGGATATCATCTTCCATCGCGGCAGATTGAGTACTTAAGATCAGGTGTATATGGATCTTTCAATCGATATGAATCTTATAGCGGAACTTCGCTGGAAGACGAATTCCTTTTACTCAATGTATTATGTGAGTCTTCAGCAAACGACACGAAAATAAAGTGCTGCTTCTATATGTTTATACTCTCTACCGATCGAAATGACTTCTGGCTTCAAATAGAAATCTAGAAATGAATATATTCAAGCTCTGCCAAATCTGCACAGAACATACTGAATGAATGGTTGTGATATATTGGAGCTATGTTGGAATTGAAGTTCTTTGTACGGTCAGAGGAGAGTCGTTATTATTTTTGGGCACAGAGGAATGTTCTGAATGAAATGTCGTCTATGTATTTGATAATCATTGCAATGACTTGTCAATGTCTGTGGACGGTACCCATTAACCCCACCACAGGCTTGGCCCAACCTAAGTCCATAACGCTAGCCGCAATGACAATAAAAACTAATAAATTTTAAGAGCTAATGTCAACACGCGTCGTGTAGCACGCACAGACAGACAGACAGACGGACAGTCAGACAGACAGTCAAACGGACAGACAGATTCCTCCGATAGAGCCCTTCCCCCTCTTGTGTCCAGACTTTGGAGCTGCACACGGCGTGCTCAATGACCATGACGCCCCAAAGTTGTCGTTGTAAAGTAATTTAGCTGCGTCTTGAGCTTGTTTATTGTTTATTTTATGACTTATGCTGCGGCGAGTCGAAGTAGAAGTGGAAGTAGAACTGGAAGTGGAAATGGAAGTCGAACTGGAGCTGCTTGCGGGTGCTGGTGCGGGTACGGATGCGGGCGCAGCTGAAGTTAGTTGGGTGGCTTGTCAGACTTTTGGCTCGACATTTTTGTTTTATGATTTTGATTTTTTGATTGGCAGCTGACGAAACAGATGGAAAATCACAAACTGGTTGTTACAAATAAAACAAAAATGTCTGTTATCATAAGTAATTGGAAGTCATTGTCTTGAGCCCGAGCCACTGGACCAGCGACAGCTACAACGTTCAATAGTTAGTGCCACCTAAGCCCTTAAGCCTCGCATGCGCCAAAAGGCTAACGAGTGGGCCGACTATGGTGCGATGAAGTCATCTGCAGTCAGCTAATTGTCATTTGACATTGATTTAGCTGGCCCACGATAAAGTCCAGACATGACCATTACGTGCCATTACATTGTTCTATCTGGTCCACAAGCACATACACAAAATGTAATGCGCACATATTGATATGGACTTACATGGTACACTCTCACATCCGGGTGACTACACAGCGAGTGGCACTCTTTTGTAGTGCGCACTCGACAGACTCCCAAGAGCTTGGCTAAATCGAATTACTTGTTGTTCTAGTTCTTTGAACCCTTCGACCATCGATCCGGCTATTGTGGGAAATGAGATTTATTACAAGGGAGATGCCTATGTCTATTTGAATACACTTGAAAAACGAGCCGGCTCACACAATCCCACAACCGACGCACTCACTCGAATTTGCGTGAAATGCCCCCAAGTACTCTCCAGGTTTTTTTGAATGTTTACCGCATCAATGGAAGACAATGGAAGCAGTATAAACATATATGTCAAATATGTATCATAAACTGGTCCTTCTCGCATCAGTTCCATATGCTAAACTTGTCGCAAGAATAACAGTAAGTCGCATACAAAGTAGGTTTGAGCTTTAACAAGATGCATTTCGCTGAAACCAAACTGAAATAATACCTTAGTACTGCAAGCTCTAATAATCTTTAGGGTGAGGGTTGGGCCTAGCTCGTTTATGTATGCTAGAATGAATTTGGAATATTGGATGGGGCTCTTACAGAATGCCATCAAATATACTCAATGGCGTTCATATCTTGGAATTTGAATGGGCCTAGCAAGGGCCAAGTCGAGCTGTTGCCTAAATAAAAATCTAACCAACATTTTTTGCTTTCTGTATTCTAATTTGTAAAATTAATCTTATATCTGAAGTGAATCAAGCTGAGAATTTGAAAACATGTTAAAAAAGAGTTTGCGGTTGAATTTGGAACTGTGTTAAGTCCGGACATCGATTCGCTTAAAAATGTTTAATCATTAAATTCAAATGGGAGTCTCATATTAATCATATTTTCATTTTGTTAATCCGGGTAATTTACAAGTCCATAAGTATCCTAAATTGTACTCATCAACGATTGGGTCTAACCAAATTGTTAAATTTTAGGTGTAAGTTCATGCCTGGTTTTAAGTCACTTCGAATTACTTCTCGCCGCCAACGGCCATGCTGGCCAAAAAGTAGAATCCAGACCAGCTGATGTACTTGACTGGATAGCCTGAGCCCTCAACGTACGACTCCAGGAACTCGGAACCAATTTTGGTGAGGAAGGCGAGAAAAGCCATGCCACCCATAATATAGGAGCCCTCGTTGATTGCTAGATAACATAGAGATGTTATGTTGCCCAAGATGGTCAATAGTTTCAATGTTTCAACCGCCTCGTCCGCGTCGTCACCCTCGCCCTTGATTAGGCCAACCAGCACAGATATAGCCATGGGCACAATGAACAGGCCGTGCCCCAATGCAATGTTATTGCTTTCGCCACCAAAGAACAGTTCGATATTGACTAACGGCAATGGTACTATCTCCATAATGGCATTGGTCGTCTCCTTGCCTGTCTTTGTACCGTCACTTCCGACGAACATGTCGATCAGCCCCAACAGGCCATGGCAGAAGCCAATTAAGCAAGCCGAGAACGCGAACGGATGAGCCTGCGGCGGCATGGCATAGAGACCGTAGCCAGTGACGCCGCATAGCACCGCGTTCAACACGCCAGAGACAGCCGCATTGTCCGACATATTTACAGTCTCGTTTACTTTGCTTCAGACGGAGGAGTTATACGCTCGAAGAACCGAATGGTTTGTTTAGACACAAATGACTTCCAATTTTGCACAGCGAAATGAGCCCACAACGTTAATTTCAACAAGAATTTAAGACAAAATTCACGAATATTTGAATTTTTTCTTACTTTTCTCTCAATATGTCGACCGAATTGTTAGACCTACTCTGTGATACTGACATAAACGTAACTTTATTACTTCGACAACTACTGCGACTGGATTTACCCAGGCACCTTGAATTATATATTTTAAGCATGTTTTAAATACGTTTACTAATTTTCACCATTGCCAGAGCTATCTAGAGTTCTGACCAGAAGACAATGAATAATTCAACTTTTTCTTCTGGCCGTATTTCTGTTGTAATGCAGCCATCCTATTCCGAACTAAAGGCTCGGAGCTTTGAAAGAACTAAAACGATACTCCACATTCTTTAACATTGATTTATTTAATGTATTTCATTTCAATTAATATTGGCTGTTTAAATACAGTCCTAGGCATAGTATTTATACTTTAGAAGAAGTAAGTTGCTTTCGCTTTCTCACAGAGTTTGATTGTTGCTCGGGCCAACACACCAAATAAGTGAGTGAGTGCGTGTGAGTGCCCAACTAGGAGATACCCGAACCCTGCCCAGAGCTGCTATTGCACTCTTTCTGGCTTCTTCTCTACATACGTGAACACACGCATACACAATTTCGAGCTCCTGTAATGAATACATTGAATTGGCATATATCGGATTTGGGATATAACAATTAAGTTCCCACAGTAAAGCCCATGATGTCTCAACATGGTTCAGGACAATGATCATGCTCTCGCTCTAAATTGGCTTCAACTTTACCGATCAAATATAAGGAAGATAACTTTTAAAGTAAATGAAATTGTCTGAAGTCTTTTCAGAGCCTGACGACTGCCTATTTGCGCTTCAATTGAGTGTAAACTAATATCTTTACAATATCTTTTTCATTAACTAATTTTACCTAAAATCAATAAGGCTCTAATCGGGCCTTGTCCGATATGCGTTTTAAATATTTTCCAGAGGTTGTATCTAGCATTAACAAAAAAGAAAGAATACTGGAATTAGGACACCAGAACTAAAACGAACATCCACTACGCAACGTGTATCACACAAGACTACCAAGACTAAAAAATCCCAAGGTTACCTTCATTTAAACACAGAACTCCTCGTCAACAAGAGGCGCATCCACCAACGCCGCCACTGCACTACTTGTGCGAGAAGTTGCAGATCTATACTTGAGCCGCAGCTGACAATTCAAGCACAATTTGCATGGATGTGTGAGCTTCTGTAGGAAAATGCGTACACTTGGCACTGCTTGCCATGTGCTTCGGCAAATGATCTACATATATATTAATACAAGTATTCCAATAGCTTTTATCTATTTAGTAAAAATGCAGCCTTTCACATAACGGATTTATTTGCAATCGAGCGACAATTTAAAGAATTTTGAGAGCTGGTATCCAAAATATAACAAAAATCCAAATGGTATAAAATATACAATAGATTAATTACAAAATTTGGCCACTCGAGCTCTTAAGTCGTACGTGATACCTATATTAGATATTTAATAACTGCATTTGCATCATGTTTCTAATCATCATGTTTTAATCAAAACGGGATCAATTATTGATTATTTCGAAGCAAACTTGCGTGTATCATATGTCATATGCCATCTGCAGACAATTAAATAATGTCAAGTCTCTAGCTATAGGTGCTGAGATCGACGCGTTCACACAAACGAACAGACGGGCAGACGGACAGGCCTTAATCGACTCAGCTCATCGTCCTCGTCCTGATACTGCCACGCCTCTTTCTGCCGGTAACATACATTTTAACATAACCATTACACCCTGATTTTCCGTTTTCAATTGGTAAAGAGTATAAAAACCGTTTAGCAAACTTGAGCAGGCGCTGAAAAACTTTAATATTTAAGAATCCTACTTACAGAATGTAGACAGATAAGGTCTGATTTGAAATGAAATAAGGGACTGAGACGACAAATGGGAACCAAACCCAGCCACCAGCATTTAATGCAAATGTTAATGCGAAGGATCTCATAGATTAAAGAGTGTCCCATAAGAATAATGGAATTGGGTTAATCTCAATCGTGTGAAACAAGTACAAATGTCCACGGACTAAACAGACTACCAGCTGCAAAGCTTTGGCTTGCGCACGCCTGCAGTGTTGAAGGATATAATTTTGCCCAATCCTTAGGAGGCTACAGTAACGTAATTGTCAAATTTTTGGGCTAAGGCGCCAACTCAGAAACTTACACGATATTTTCAATCAAATTTGCAAGCTTCTAGCTCTAAGCCTATATATATATAAAGCACTCTATGTACACATATCCGATTTGCCACGCCATAGTGGCCGTAGATATAGTATTTTCCGTTGATCTGTAGCGGATCGTAGCAATAACTCGAATGCGAAATTCTGAAGCTCTTGCTTCAGCAGTTTTACCCGATTTGCCAGGCTCCCAATAGACTATCCACTATAACTTTTTGATATCCACTATACCTTTCGAAATCTGACGCCCCTAGCATACATACCAGACACAGTAATTCCGATTCCTATTTGCCACGCACATTATTGGTATTGGAGTATATCTACAAAATTGCAAGTCTCTAGTTTCAATAGCGACGAACTGATATGCGCTCATACGGACAGACAAACATTACACAAAACCAATATACCATTTCACTTCGTGAATGAGTATATTAACCCCTAAAAGGCAAGAGGCAACAGTTGTATAATAGAGATCAAGATCGAGACAGTGTCGAGAAGGAGAGAGAAAGGAAGGTGGAGAGCAACGAAGAGGCAATTATTTGAAAATTTGTCGTGATTTAGGTTTAGGATAAGTGCAGCAAAACTATGTAATTAAAACACATAATAATTTAGATTGCGATATCCCTTTGGATTTCCATGCATGAACACGTAAGTTTTGTCATTGGAGGCATTCCGCTGCCTGGTCTGGTTAGAAGCATGCTTCAATTTAGCTAAGAAACAATGTATATGGACGGTCTGGCACGCTTATAATAACATGATCTCTAACATCATCGAACTGCGAATCGTCTATGTCCGATGTTTGAGTCGCATCCGGATTAATATCGACATCTGCATCAGCAACCTCATTTTCCATGCTGACAATGATGCCCATATTCACATTTGCATTTTCATTCATATTCATATTCATATTCATATTCATATTCATATTCATATTCATATTCATATTCATATTCATATTCATATTCATATCCATATCCATATCCATATCCATATCCGTATCCATATCCATATCCATATCCGTGTCCACATCTACATTGTCATCGACATCGACATCGACATCGACATCGACATCTACAGCGACGTCGACGTCAGCATCCATTTCCACATACTCCTCACCTAAATCGGATTCGTTGTCTTCAGAGCCGGCGATTTGGCGTACACTTTCCCGGGATTCATCCTGTCCGTCCGACATATAGATACGCACGTTCTCTTCGGTGTAGTCGACAATGTGACGGCGCGTCTTGTTTAGATATTGCTTTTGTCGCAAATATATCTTAAGTATGCCCTTCACTCCGATGAACGTGGCGCCGCCAAGCAGCGTCCGATACAGCGGAGGCGTCATATTTCTATACATGATATTGCCCATTATTGTCGCAATGCTGGGCAACATAATGCCGCCGCAGAAAATGCGAGCAAAGTCCACCGGCTCATCGGGCACCGACAGCGGCGCCGGCTCTCCGGCCCTGAGCGACGAATTGGACGGCCGATTGAACAGCCGTTTGACCAGCGGCAAGTTGTCTGCAATTTCATGGCGCTTGTGCCAGAGCCGCAGCAGAGCATCCTCCCACCGTATGAGGCGGCTGAGTATTAGTGCCACTGGTATGAAGGGCAGCCCGACTAGCAGAATAAAGGGATCACCCTTCTCCATTATCTCCATGCCGCGCTGCTGGCCAAACACCTGGATGACCGTGAGGCCGCCATAAGTGACGGCCGTCCAATAAACGGAGCCCAAAAAGGCGCTTGCAGCGACAAAAAGACTGCAGTGACGGACGATATCCTGAAAGCGCTCCAAGATTATGGCCAAACGGCTAACCTTCGGAAAGATGATGATATACTCGACTTGGCACTGCATACAGGTAACCTTTGCGCGCGAATTGCCATTCTGTTTCTCGTCGATCCAGCGATAGAGGCAGCTCTCGTGCACCCATTTGGTGCTGCCGCGGCACTGGCACGGATGCAGCCAGGTAGCCATCAGATTCTCAGTCTCCGTTGCAAAGCATATCCAGCAGGTGCGCTCCGATTCGCGCCTTGCCGAGTTCGGCGTGATGCCCAGATGTGGAACAATGCCTTGGCCAGTCATATCAACAAACCAATCCGACCTGTAGCGAACGCGATTGCCAGGCAGAATAATGTATAAATGTTTATTTCACAAAATAGAGAGATTAAAATGTTCGGCAAGGCGTGCGATGTTTTTCAGCTGCCAATTTAATATAAAATAGCAAACTCGCTAAGCTGCCTACACCCTATGATAGTCAAGCAGGCAATCAAGTCTTGACTCAACTAACACACAAAAGCTAACTCAACAGCTCCAAGAACAACACACTACTAAAATATTCTAACTATGTTAACTATATATCAATGTCTACAATTTTAAAGAACTTATCAAATATTTCCAAACGTCAAACTTACTTTTGAAATACGAAAAACTGAATAAGTTACATTTGTTTTACTTCATGATTTGCCCCCATCTTAAAAGGGACGTTTCAACTATGTGAGCTCATAGTTGAAATGCCTTATCAATGCATAATATCTAAGATCTTATCATATTTGGTGTGACTTTTCGAAACTTGCATAGAGTGTGACTTGAATATAGAGTGACCCCTCTTCGCAATATCCTCATATATCTATTTAGTCGGTCTTAAAGCTAATCACATTCTCAACTTAGCCGCCTTCAATTAAAATCAGACAACCTTATAGCAAGGCATATCAAAGCGTCCACCGAACCATTGCATTGACAACATTATTTTCAGTTCAGCCCGAAATTATGCTTCACTTTTTATATCGCTCAAAAAGAAAATCAAATTTTTGATGCGAATGCTATGTTTGCCAAAAACTAATTTAAAGGCAAAAACAATATTTTTTATTCACGAAGCTGTCATCCACAAGGTTACAGCCTATGAGATATATGAAATTTCTCTATCGGGTTTTTTAACGAGGAATTCAATAAATAAAACTCAGATCCTGCAAAATAAAGCGCTACGCAGGTGGACTGGAGCTAACTGGCTTGTAAGAAACTCAGTTCTATATAGGGACTTATCAATTCCCACAATCACAGAACTCATTGGGCGAGACAGCTCAAGATACATGGACAGTCTTGTAGCGCATCCTAACCATCACGTAAGCAACCTGGCTCTAAACAACAATGAGCGAAGAATTAGAATTAGTTAAATTTGTAGCAATAAGCGCAGAATTTAAGATGCGCCATAGAGTCTAAGACAATACGCTGCAATCAACAAACATGAAAAAACACTTAATTTTTCTTTGCAGCCGCAAAGTATGCAATGAAATTTAAACGATTTCAATGTTTTCTGGTTGCGCAAGTGCAGAAGGAAGGAACTCTCCACTCTCAACATGCTCTCCATTTATGTCACTAGTTAAAAGAATAACCGACAGATATTGAACTATTTCTATATAAATCTGGAGAGTCATGTCCTCTGCTACTGTGTGAACTTATGACCTATGAATTAACGCAATGCAGCAGTTGCCCAGTTTTGCTGATGATGAAAAGGAATGCAAATTATACCGACTGATTATAATCACGTTGTGAATGTTTATAATGGTATAATATAGTATACATATATAATATATGTATTTACTAAATTTGCTGTTTACCCTGCTATTTCTTTGTTAGTTTTAGCTTTGACTAGTGTCAGATTATCCTCGTTTAGCAACTACAGAAAGTATGCTCTGCGTCGTCCATTATATTTCATCAGTAAATGCAGTTCGACCCGGCAATTTTCCCCACTCATGTCCTGAAATTATTAGTGTCAGATTAATCGTCGTATCTCAGTGCTTTATGATTAGTCTTCTTTGCTGTGCATCTCCCGTGACTCACGCTTGCCTCAACCTTGCAAGTGAGTCAATATCTTACCTAATCTTATTATGCTCTTGTCCAAGGGCGTCGGCAAATAGTACTGACGCTATTAGAGACGCAGCAGCTCCGCCTTATTTTAGCTCCGTTATACTGGGTAATTTGACTTGGGGAAGTCTTTGTTGCGCATCCTCAGTATTTCCAGATATTTCCAGGTGTTTCCAGGCATTTCAAGTCTTAACAGATCTTCCCGTAGGAGTCCTCAGCAGTGCATTAAATATTTCGTTACTCCAAAGAAGCTAACCACTTGTTTTACCCAAAACTATTAAATGCGCTTTTGGCATCAGGCATTACTAGTGGCAGGCAAATACGAATTTTATTGCGTCGCTCCCATAATTCCCATTGTGGATTTGCCTTGCTGTCTGGCAGTAAATTAACCAACGTCCTCAGGTAGCATCCTTCTTTCCGGCATGCCTTGAACATGTAGAAAGGTAGGTCGCCTTGTTACTACCATGTTCAGTATCTTTAAAGGAACATTGTCTAAGCCCGGAGCCGTTTTATTGTGTCAGGGAAAGAGCTGCCATAGCAAGCTTATCCTCGGGGAAGATTCACAGCTTCACTCAGTTGAGCTTCAACTGAGCCCTTACGTAACTAGAAATTAGAGCGTGGTCATCTCAATCAGAATAAAGAAAAGATGTAAGCTCCAATAGGATTTATTTATTATTACATATGTGTATACGTATGGTATGTATCATTCTTTGATAAACATAAACTATGTATATAATATATGTATATTCTGCAAGGCTTCGCGTAACTTTCCCATGGACATCGCCAGTTCAGGTGCTGATCCCAAGTCCCAAATGCGAGACTTGCAGCCAACCGATTCAAATATCACAACTGTTAATAACAAGCTATACAAAAAACATACACATACTAATATATACTATATATATATATATAAAAAAAAAGTTAAAAAAAAACAGTCACTTCACGAGTGACAGACCAGTTGGGAGGACTTTAACAACTGGGACACTTGACCAGGCCCACCTCGTCGCAGTTCATGCACTTGAGGGCCACGAATTCGGCGGTAAAGTGATTCCGATGCACCGACTTCTTGGAGCCACTGCACGAGGGGCAGGGCAGCAGTCGATAGCCGCCGCAGGTCTGGCAGGTATAAGCCGTGGCTAACGACTGAATGGGAGGAGATCAATACGTTAGTACAAATCAAAGCTACCTGTGGCATGACTCACCTTGTAGGGTCGCAGCAGTTGACGCAGCTCTCCGCTCTCATTTAGTCGCTCCACTGTGTCGGCATCCTGCAACGTTACAAATTGAACTGTGAATGTATATCTGATGAGAGAGTAACGTATCCGCCAGATACTTACACCAATGTGCTGACCCTCGACGAACAGCTGCGGCACTCGTATCGTCTCGTGGTGCATGCGCTCCCGCATCTCCTGCTGGTACTCAATACTCATGAACACATCGCGTTCCTCAAACTTGACGAGCAGTGTACGCAGTATCTGCTTGACATTGGCGCACTTGGCATACGTCTCCCTAATGATGCCCATGCTCGTCGTATATAGCACAACTTTGCCCAGATCCTTTTCCATGTAGTTCTATAGTAAGTAGATTAACAAACATAACACAGTTCAGTGCAAAGTACACAAAAGTATACAAAAGCATGCTACAATCTCTCAACACGCTGACCTTGTAAGCCAACAACTGAAGCCGACACAGATTGAGACTGTAATTATATATACTGACTATATGCTACAGCTATTTGCTAATTGTGCTGCCAAGTCAATAACAACCCAAAAACAACGAAGAGCAATCAAGAATAGCAACTCCAGTCGAGTCTTACATATTCTCTAATGCCCGCCAATATTTCAGATTCAATTTCAAATAAATGCAAATATATGTGCTCTAGAGATTAAAACAAGTAAAAAAGCTCTAATCGGGGGGTGCCCGACTAGGAGATACCCTGATCCCCGTCCTCTTTGAGTTTTTTAATATTTTCCGTAGTTTGTATCGAGTATTCAAAAAACACAATTCAAGCGCAATTTCAATTCTTGGAATAGAAAAGAATACACGCATTTGAATGTATGTGTGCACACGCATAGGAAAAATGCGTGCGCGTGGCGCTGCTGACATGCGCTTTTGCAAATTTGGCAAACGTTTTGTTTAATAACTTCTGTTTTACTTAATGGATTTTAATGAAATTTTCAGCATATGATCTACATATGCTATTGGCATGGTTGAGATGCAAACGCTTTCACATAATGGCCCCAGCTCCAACTAAACTTTAATTTTAAGAATTTGGGGAAATTTGGAGCCAGTATCCAAAATCGAACAAAAACCAAAATTGCATGAAATATACATAAAACTATATACAAACTATAGCTCTTAAGACGTCCGAGATATAATTTATTAATTGCATTTCAATCATGTTTTTATTCGATAACAATTAAACGTGAATAGTTATCGAATATTTGAAACAAACTCGATATGCGCGTGCTATACACGGACCTACAAAAAAATTTCAAGTCTCTAGCTCTTATAGATGCTGAGATCCACGCGTTCACACATACGGACAGACGGACGGAAGGACGGACAGACGGACAGGGCTCAATCGACTAGGCTTGTCGTCCTGATCAAGAATATATATACTTTATGGGGTCTGCCACGCCTTCTTCTGCCTGTTACATACATTTGCACAAAACCATTATACCCTGATTTCCCATTTTCAATGGGATCAGGGTATAAAAAGATTACAGTTCAGTATTATGATCAAAATTGATTCATATATTTGCCACTTAGAGACTACGATTTCAATTTGATCTTCGAAATGCTGATTCTGAGAATTTGTATTCGTCATTATCGTAACAACTTCATGTCAAGCAAACATTCAACATTGAGAAGCATAAATAATTTTGGTATCTCTAAGGATGGAGAGGCAAATGGAAACCAAAGTTCATTTTAAGGTAACGTTCCTAAAACAATGAATGATATATATACATATCTCTCTCTCCCTCTCCATCTCTTTCTAATTTTAACTTAGCCTGTTTTTATCTATACATGTCTCTGTCAGTCTCTCTTCCTCCCCTTCCTCGGCTCACTCTCCCTTTTCCTTTCTTCTCCATCTTAGTAGCTCTTTCAGACTACTTGATTTCCTCATCATTTTACTCCCTCTATCTCTCTCTCGTTCACAATCTTTAACTCTCTTTCTCTGACTCTTACACTTAAATGAACACACTCTTGCTCAGTCGCTCTCTCAGACTATCTCCGACTCTTAGACACCTCTCTCTCCCTGTCACTTTATCTCTCTCTCTCTGTCTTTTTGTGCTATTCTTCCTCTTTATCATTCTAATTCTGTTTATGTTTCCCTCCCCCAACTCTTTTTCTTTTTCTTTCTTTATCTTGTTCCCTTTCTCTCTCTTTCTGTCTTTCCCCTTTGTCTTTCTCATTCATATTCTCCTCCTCTTTTCTTTCTCTCGTTCTATCCCTTTCCCTCTCCCAATTCTCTCTCTCTTTGACTCACTTTATTTTTTTCTCTTTATCTCGCTTTCTGTTTTTCTCCGTTTCACTTTATCTTTCCATTTCTCCACCTTATTCTCCTTATCTTTGTCTCTCTCTTTTCTATTTATCTCACCTTTTCTCGCTCTCCGTCTCTCTGTACTTCTCACGCATACTTTTGACGTTCCGATGCGGGCCAAAGCAATTTACAATATGGCGTTAACTGTTTAATTGGCAAAGAGGTTTATAAATAAAACAAACGAAACGATGCTGCTATTAAGACACTTCATAATTTGCTAGACACAAAAGATAGAGTGTACAAACAAACAAGCATGTCGAAAATGTCAGCATATAACTGGTTTATGCTCTGGATTATACAATTAAGCGAAAAACAAAGGCCAGGCTAAAACGAATGCCTGACTAAGAGAAATTGCAATCAAACTGAAATATAAAGAAAATCCAATTGGAAATTACGCATAACCAATTTGTGTAAATGGTATTTAAAATTACTTAACGACATTTACAGGCGTTGCCAATCTGAAACTTACTCTAGGTGAAAACTGCAAACAATTCACTAACTGCACATTTCCCTGACCATTTCCAATTGAGTGTGTAAGTATATGTGTGTGTGTGCAACTCGTTTTTGCTCCAAATTAATTGGCCACACAGTCGATGGCTGTGTACCGTTAGCTGGCCAAGTTGACAGTCTAATTAACTTAAGCCAGAGCTCCACCGGCACCTCCTCCTATCGCCAGTTGATCAAGCGATATATATCGCTATCGCAGCGGGACAGCAAATGTCAAAAACTCAAGAGTTATGCTCATAATAAATGACAACATCAATTATAATAGACTTTCCATACACAGACTACATGGACTCTCGGCATGCCAGCATGGCGTAATGCCTGATCTCTGACTATTATATAAATTGATTGAGTTCAATCTTTTGAGCTGGTCTGACGTCTGGCACAGGTTCAACTGACACAGGTGGTACTTTAGCAATTAGTTTTTATAACTATTCCCCAATATTTCATTTCACTGTTTTATATTCTCTTTTATACTTGATCACGAAGTTAACAAGGGTATATTGGCTTGTGCAATGTTAGAGGGATGAAATGTGTAAATCGTCTAATTAAATCTTAATTTATATATAAGTCATACTATTATATATAATTGACAATATAAACTTGAGACTGTTGGGCGTAGAATTTGGAGACATCTGTACCTTTCAGAGGTGTAGAGGTAGAACTGCAAACTTTGACTAATGAATTTTCTCTTTAGCTAAATTTACTCTTACTCTTACAGATACGAAAATGGTTTTAAATCTAGGGTAACGGAAGTCACTGTTGATATTATGCTCCGCCCATTGCAATTGAACCATTTATGAGCCCTAAACATGTATTATTACTTCTTGAGGCTCAACTGCCATCTGGTTTCGAGACAACAAATATTTCAATTTAATATATTCAATTTATTTTATGAGCCATTTTTCTAACTTTTGCGATTTTCTCTTTTCTTAAAGAAACCTTTGTATTGACTATTTCAATAGTTTCCGTCTGCATAGGCTTTTTGTCGAGAACAGGCTTCTCATCATCATAAATCTATGATGTAAATGTTGTATCTTGACGGCAGGGTCCTCATATCGTTTAACTCAAATTTGTACAATTTTTTCATCTCCTTTAATTCAGTTTTCTACAATTTTTTAATAGGGCATTTACGAAGCTACTGACAACCTACAGGATCTCAAATTACTCAAATTACTCGATACAACAAAAAATTGTATCCAAGCAAAATAGGTGCCAGCAGTGCTGAGTGGTCGAAGACACAATAAACAAGCAATCAGAAACATATCACTACAAACACAGCATACTTGTCCTAGAAGAGGAGGATAGACCCATCATCCTTACCAGGTCGCTATGGATTTATTGGTTTCAAATCAATATTAAAATATCCACTTCATTCATATGACAAGTAAGGCCAATTGCTAATGAAACGAATGGGAAATGAAACAGCAGGAAAAAATAGTCGTAGGAGAATATTAGTAAGTCAAAGCAACGAATGGAAAATGTAACTCATAGATTCGCATCGTAAAAGAGTTATTTTTGTGTTTCATTTTCGTAAACTATTATTATATGGAAGAGCTATGAAAACGAGTGGCAAATGAAACAAACGACTAACAAGGCCAATGGCCAATGAAACGAATGGGAAACGAAGTAAAGTTGCATCATTGTCGCGATCTCATTGCATTCCACCCCAACCCATTCCAGCTCATTGACTTGCATAACCCAAGAGGCAAATGCTGAAGCAGTTGCTAGCTATTTACCAGCAATATGACATGTTTAAGCAAATAAAAGGAAAACACATAAAACTGGTACATTAATAATTGCCATTAAGCGTCATTTGTGGTGCGAACGTGGATGTGGATGTGGATGTGGATGTGAATGTGGATTTAACAACAAAGTTCAAAGCCATGTTAAGTGATAAAAGATGCCTGTGGCTAAGCTGATATGTTGTGTGTTCAAACTGAAAACGAGTTTGACTGAAGTCGAAGGAGGTGAGGGGGAAAAAAGAGCTCCCCTCAGCCCCTGTTTGAACGAGCATTTGAACTGTGATCCACACTCGTTGAGCTGTCACCAGCATCCACAATTAACACGTGCCCTCGCAGAACCGTCGACAGGCCACAGTCAGAGTCTCTCCAGAGCCAGAGTCAATGCCAAACAGACAACATTACAATTTATTTTATGTGTCTTATTTTTGTATTTTCTGCTTTTAGCGGCAACAGGTAAGGCTAGTGGGCAAAAAGAGAAAGCGGGTCACTTGCGATCGACAAGCGTCGATTGGAGGATTGCCAATCGGGTTGGGATCTGCGCTCAAGAAACAAAAACAAAAATTGCGTATCTGCCATATCTGAGAGTCAACACAGTTCGCAGCATCAGCAGCATTCGCGCCATTCAATTATGTGAGCAGGAGTTGACTTTTAATGGCAGCCAACCGCAACAACTACAACATTCACACGAGTCGATTCGTTGCGGTGCGTTCCATAAAGTTCAATTAATATGTCACATGGAGCTCTGGACATTATGTAAGTCGATGCGGACCGATTG